TTAAGGCAGCTCAACTTTATGTGTAACTTTTATAATTGAACCCTAGTTAAATATTACACAATTTTACTAGGGCCTTGCTGTATAAATAATAAGTCAGTTTGCAAGCTGATTATCGAAGGTGTGCATATTTCTGACACTGAGTCACAGATACAGTAAAAAGGAAATTAGTAGGGCCTGACTGGACTTACACGTAAGCTGAAACCATGTGACTAATAAAAAAATTGATAATTTCTCTAGGTTGTCTTCAGACTGATCAAAGGTGGAACTCATTGTATTTGTTCCAGTAAAAATATTCAATTGAACAGTCAAGTTAGCAATGTTGCTGGTATTTGTCAGTAATAGATCTGTCTGGTAAGGTTTTCCCCTCATCACTTTCAGAGGAAATTAAACAATCTTCATCAGCAAAAACTGAATATCCTAGAAGACAAACTGGCAAAAATAAAGCTTCCAGTTGATTTGATTTTCAATGTCTTCACTGGCAATGGAACATCATTCAAGAGAACTTCACAATAAGGCTGGTATTTGTACAGACACGACAGAGACTCCACCAGGGGTCTGCACGCCCTCCTGGCCCTGCCAGACCCAGGAGCTGTCTGTTCTCAGGCCACTGCACACGGCTGTCTCTCCCAGAAATGACCCAATTTTTAGCCTCTGTCTGTTAGCCAGCAATCATCTTGCAAAGCCTACTGTAATATCAGTGACAATCTCCTTTATTCTCTAAGAACTTTCTTTTTTTTTTAATTCAAGTATAGTCAGTTACAATGTGTCCATTTCTGGTGTACAACATCATGTTTCAGTCATATAGATATATTCCTTTTCATATTCTTTTTCATTATATGTTACTACAAGATACTGAATATAGTTCCCTGTGCTACACAGTAGAAACTGGTTGTTTATCTATTTTATATATAGCAGTTAGTATCTGCAAATCTCGAACTCCCAATTTATCCCTTCCCACCCCCTCTCTCCCTTGGTGACCATAAGTTTGTTTTCTGTATCTGTGAGTCTGTTTCTGTTTTGTAATTGAGTTCATTTGTGTCTTTCTTCTCATATCATATGGTATTTTTCGCTCTCTTTCTGGCTGACTTCACTTGGAATGACAATCTCCAGGTCCACTTCTATTGCTGCAAATGGCATGATTTTATTCTTATAGCTGAGTAGTATTCCATCATACACATATACCACAGATTCTTCATCTGGCCACCTGCTCTAAGGCCTTCCTGATCCTACTCAATACCCCTCCTCTACATCCCAATAGATTCATCACCCTAGATTACAGTCAGTTTTACCAACATTTTCCCAAAAGACAGAACAGCATATTTTATTATCTTAGTATCTCTGGACCTAGGATATAGTAGTTAACACATGATTACTAGATTGATAATGCTTACTTCAGACAGCCCAACTAGAAAAGAGATGCAATTTGTGATGCTCATGACAAATATTTTAAAACAAATAAATATACTGGTCTTCTGAAATTACTTCCCTTATTTATGTAAAGCACAGAGGGAAAAAAAAGGCCCAGTCACTTGGAGTGGGGAAGATTACCACTGCTATAAATAACCTTCTATGTCAGCACAACCAGTAAAATTGTTCTAGTCTTCAGTTATCATAGTACTAAAAAAAGTTATTTCTTTAAATAAAAAGGAGTATTTCTATTTTACCAACACTTGATAGGTTCCACTTTTTAAATATGTATTTTTTTGATGTACAGTCAGTTTACAATATTGTGTCAATTTCTGGTGTACAGCATAATGCTTCAGTCATATGGGAACATACATATATATTCGTTTTCACATTTTTTTTCACCGTAACTTACTACAAGACATTGAATGTGGTTCCCTGCACTATACAGTATAAACATGTTGTTGATAGGTTCCATTTTAAATAAGTCTTGGTCTAATTTGTAAATATTGGTGACCATTTCACAGTCATAGTATCTTGTAATTCAGGTCCTAAAATACACTGGCTTCTGTAACACAGGCTACAGGATCACAGAAGAAGCAAAACTCCTCTTGGTCCTCCCAGGGCTGGTCCTCTTTGCTCCTCCAAAGATGCCCGAACCCCAGAGAGCTTTCTTAACGTGGAATCTTCTTCTGAATGACCTTTCGCTTTCAACGTCCTCAAACCTAAGGTCTACACAGACCGCCTCTCATGTCCAACCATCTCCTCACGTCGGATCTGCTACTTCCTGGTTTCTGCTCCCAGGAGGTTGGGAGCACCTTCTCCAAGGTCCCCCGTGTCTTCCTTCCAGACAAACCGGCACTCAGCCTTAACTTCCCCGCACTCTCCAGTGGCCCTTCCCACTGCTCACCGTTCTTTCCTACTGGAAATTCTCGCCCCTTGGATTCACCAACACTACGTCTTCTTGTTGCTACAACAAGAACTGAAGTATGGGGGGAGAGGGAGGGGGACATAGCTCAGTGGTAGAGCGCATGCCTAGCACGCTCAAGGTCCCGGGTCCGATCCCTAGTACTTCCATTAAAAATATAAACAAATAAGTAAACAAATAAACAAACCCAGTTACCTCCTTCCCCCGCTTAAAAACAAAACAATTTAGAAGCAAGCATGTTGCTCCGTCTATTGGGCCAAAGTGCATGAAACTGACTAACCTCTAGGCTGATGAATCCATTGCAAGAGAAATAAAACTAGGGGAGAGGAGGGCTGTGGTGGGACCGATCAGGGTCTTAGAGAGAAAGGGAGACCGGCGCTGATACTAGGGGCTTTCTTTGCGAGGTGAATGTTGGCTACTAGGCAGAGGTCCGCCCATGTGCCTTTTCTGTTTCCCCAGATGACTCTCTCTCCTCCTGCACCCCCAATCATGGGCCATCCCCAAACTGCTGTCCTTTGTCCTCTGCTCTTCTCCACATACGCTCCTCCCTGGGGTCCTCTGAAGATACCTTCTCTCTGAGGGATTCAGCCATCACTTGTATTCTGGTAACTTTCAGGTTTATCATCTGCATCCTCGACTTCCCAGCTCTGCTCAAGCAGCATCTCCAACTGCTCAGCAGACAGAAGCCCTGGGTACCAACCCTTCTCCCCAAGCCAACAAACCCACGGAGAAGGTCATCAGTTTCCCCTTCACCATCACCGCTGTCTCCCTCAGGCGTCTGCGGGGCTCGTATCTCCAGGCTAACAGTTCAGACTCTTTAATCCCCCCCCTTCATCCTCCATGCCCTGCCCCAAAGCCCTTCCTTTCCTCCTTCAAAACACCACCCCTGGATTCAACTTTTCATCCCACCTGAGTGCTGGACTTCACCCCTCATTTAGAGGGCACCACCCCAGCCTCTCAGCTTCTCCCCCTGACTATGGACTGTTCACTTCGGTGGATTTCACTAGAGTCCACAGCCTGAGTTTCCTAAAACATGATGTTGCAGGCTCGGAGAGCTTCAGTGACCTGCTCCGCACTGTCACGGCCACAGGTGAACAAGCGATCCAACAGTGACGCGCAGCTCCGTCTCCCCACAGTGGTTCTCCCTCTGACGTTCAAAACCCAGATCCCGCCTGTATCCTCGGCTGTCAGCTCCATTCCAACAGGCCTCTCGCCTCCCCAAGCGGGGCTCTTACAGTTTCAACCCTCCTAAAAGTTCTGGATGCCTGAGAAAGCGGCTGAGAAACTCCACGTGAAGTCTGCCCTGGGGCCGGTTCTACTTAGTCTGCAGCCAGTTCTGGTGACAAGGTCTGGGGTCTGGCTTGATGCCCAAATCCCTGCCCTGGTCAGTGCTCAGGGCCCCAGGGCCCTTCAGGATGGGGGTCCTCCAGGAATGAGGACCCACCGGCCTTCGGGGTCCTCCTCCAGTTCCTGGTACCGGATCTCCAGACGTCAGAAGCCCGGCTGAGCTGACACTCACCTGTATTGGCTGCCCTGTCGCCTGGCCAGCTGACCCCTGGTTACCTGGTCTCCTGCTACCTCTGACTTCCAGGTCTGGGAACCTGCCAAGACGCTGCTTCCTGCAACTCTCCACACCTGTCAGATTTATCCTGTTCCCTAATGAGCCCCAGGTATATTATTTTCCACCATTCTCCTATAAACCCAGTATCCCAGTCAGATTCTTAAAAAATAAGAAGTAAGTCTTA